TGCTCATAGTAGCCGAGATAGCCGATTCGCGGCCATCTCGTGAAGTGGCCGATTGCCGATGGTCCACTGGGCCCACGCAACACTCAGTTGCTCACAGTATTTGAAATGAGCGATCTTTCAGCCACTCGTAGGCCCCACTGGACCGTCGCAACACTCAGTAACTCGCAGTACTTGGAATGGCCGATCTCTCAGCCACTTCACGGCTCAACTGTGCGAAGGAAGTAGACTGCTTGACGTAGTCGGATATACTTTTCCCGCGGAGACTCTCCGCGGGGGACGTTGAAGCGCATCAACTCCAGTGGTGCATAGCTGCTCTACCTGGAACCGAGGAATTGTTTGGTTGAGTTCCAAGGAATGGTCGCACTCGTATCTTGCACGCATGTGTGCGTACATACGTGGCAGTCTGCACGGTGCAGCTTGTGTACTCTGCGCGATGCGTTCCACGTTTGCATACTCTCCCGTTACAGGAATGATTTCACTGCTGCAACACTCCACTAAGCTTTCAAGCAAATCGGCAAACGTGTTGAACCATCTGCTAACGCACGAAGGCACCCACGTGCATAGTCTCATCAATAATTGATCGAACAATCATCAATTTACGGGTGACTAAGCCCTTGTGTATACCTTGCAGATTGATCTTCTGGAAGGACAGCAACTTAGAAAGGCATCCAGCGACACTTTTCGAATCAGTGTAATGCTAAATGTGGATGCTACGACAATTATAATCGAGGCATCGTAAACCCGCTCTATCCGACTCAAAATCCCCAGGAGGGACTGGGCTGTGCCATCAAATGCGAGAGCTAACGGCCAATCCGGAGAATATGAGCTGAGACCAGCCAGGCGGTGCACCTCAGAAATGAGGTTGGAAGCCCGATCCGCTGGTAGCCTACTAACGAGGGTCTCGATAAGACCTCGTCTCTCGTACGTGTTCCCAGCCCCAAAAAGACGTGTCACCATGGCAAAGAGCCTCCTAGCATCAGCGCAAAACTTATCCACAGTGGAGTACTTCACCCGGAGTACATTAGCCCTATACTCCTCGATCAGAGTCTCTCGCTTGGCGTGAGTGTTGAGCAGGATCGTCTTCACCCTGGACCAATCATGGTCGCTCTGCTCGGCGGCATCCGACGCGAGTTGAAATATGTCCTTGTGGTCCACGAGGGTGCCCAATATCTTAGTCACTACATTATAGCGTAAGCGGGTTACCGGTTGAAAGTTTCCACCAATCTCCTGACCAACCTCCGCCTCTATCAACATATTCTCACACACCTTCAAGTGATGCTGAAGGGAGAAGCTGTACTTCAACTTAGGGAGCTCCACTTTGTTGACCGTCTGGGTAGTGACCCCCTTCCCCAATAAACGAATATCGGTGCCAGGGAGACGATCAATGTCGGGGTTAGTAACCGTTGTCAGTGTTTCGTGGCCTCCCCTAGGAGAGATGTGCTGGGCGTCGTCCAGACTGGAGGTGGTGGTGACCCAGCCCTCATCATCAGTCGAACAGGGGGCAAGAAGATCATCGAACACATTAGCGTACTCGAGGGCTTCCTCAATCTTCTCCAAAACTTTGTTGTTATCAGCCCAAACCGAAGTCTGCTTCTCAAGAATGTTGGCCTGTTCAGCCTTCTCAGTCTCATTCATTGATTCAACCCTCAGCATACGACGAGTCTCCTGGACAGCATTATGAGCCAAGGTTCTTCTGCGACGAAAGTTGGATAAGGCTTGCTTGATGCGATCCAACCGCTTATCCTTGGCGAAAACAATAAGATCTGCATGGATGGTAGAATCGATGAACTCGTTGGCCGGCGGGACCAGGTTGACGTACTCAGGTGTCGCCATATTATGGATTTACCAACACGGTAGACAAGATGCCAGGTAAGAACGAACTAACAAGTAGTAGACTCATACCTCCGATAATAGCAACTAGTTCAACTCTTCAGCTTGTACATACGTGCAAAGTTATGGAGCAGCACGCATGCGATAGTCCTCACGTACACACATTAGAGCATGCTAATCAACAATAATACTAGATAGTGTCTACAATTACACGAGAGTAGTAGCAGCAGTGAGCTGGTGGTAATACGTGAGATATCGAGGATCAGGAAGAGAATTTCGTCTGTTGCGTGCCAGTGTTGAGCGTATGGTGTAGAATCATACCACTTAAAGCATAAGAGCGAGATGGTGGTGGTGACCTATGGAGAGAAGATACTGCGAATACAAGAACAGTCCAACAGCAAGCGGAATGATCCTGGTCTTCAATATTGGTGCAACGATCCCTGCGGCATATCTCCGAAAAAAGAGTCATGAGCTGTTGAATAAATAGTACCGATACTCCAAATCTATCTTACAAACGCTGATCACCGGGTGGATGGTCTGGGTGCCATACGCAAAGTTCAAGTGACTCTGGCCAAGTAGAATAGTCATTGACAGCACTGCTGTGCATCGCTCGATTACGCTTCTCACTCAGTTTGTAGACATGCTGTCGACCCCGGACATGCATGCGATCGTTA